CAATCCATGCACCATGAAATACAACGATCAACGCATACACATGATTGCAGCCCTCGCACGGTGCGTTAGCTCCCAGCGCCGCGCGTCGCGTTAAAAGAAGCTCTTTTTTGTTTGGAACTTCTAATCTTTTATGATCGTCCAGACTCTCTTTTTTCCCTATAAATAGAGGTCGTTTTCCCCGTTCCGAATCATGAACAATACCCATCAATTACCTAGCCACAACTATCATCAATCGTCATTCAAAACACCCATGTTCTTAGCCTTAGTCTTAACACATCCTTGATACCCTCCCAAATTAGTCGCAATACCTCATTCACGAGATTCGAATTCTCCAAGCCATACTCGACGTTGCCTTCGACCTCGACGTGAAAGGTTGATAGTTCCAAGGGTATGGTCCCAAATCTATATTTCAATTCATATTCGATTTACTTACTTTATTGATTTAATTTTCTTGAAATTTACTAACGCGTGTATTGTTTTAATAGCAAGAAGGTTGAGGCATTAAAGTGAGTAATTTAATTATCCTTTTTATCTTTCTTTTGATATTGGAGTAAATTCATGTTCACAACACTATGTTAATTCCTAGTATCATGTTTAGGATGTTATTTTGATTTCTAGTATTATGTTTAGGATAACGTGTTGATTTTGTTATTAGTGACATGCTAGGATCGTTATTAATCTGTTTAGTATCATGCCTATAATCTTACTACTAACGATGTTTTGATGATGATGATTGTTATATTAATCATATGTTGCTTGATTATTCATGATTTATCGTTATTTCTTGATCACGCCCCTTTTTGAAGGATTAAAGGGAATTTGTACTTGAAATCACGCCTAATAAGATAATTAATAATTTGATTTTAGGCTAATATGACTTTAGTTCAAATAAGCGCCAATAATAGATTTGATTGTGCATTAATAATCAACCAATATAGATTAAACAGGTTTAGGGTTTATTTAATGTATTTATGTTGATCGAAAAGCGCGCATAAATATCAAAAGAATTAAGTAGAGGCCTATTTAGAGAGGGATTGACTTCTCTCAGTTCAAATTCGTACCATCATTCCCGATCATCTAGTCATGGTTTCGAACAACTATGAAGTTAGCAATCTCTGTAATTGTTAATGGGGTGTAACCTTCACACCCCGTGAACGGTTTACAAGTTCCTAAAACTTGTTGGCGACTCTTTTTCTCCAGCTTTTTTTCCTTGGAGCGTCGTCATGCTTAAAAACATGACCCACACGTAGGGCGGAGTTAAAATTCCCTACAGTAATTATGAACATATTATGTTAAATATCTGAACATGTATATGTTTTTTATGAACATTTGAGTTTGATCGATATACGAACTAAGATAAGTTAATTTGGGTTAAGGAATTATAAACCTCAATAGGGATTTGATATATAAAATGAACATTTAGTGTATTTTAAATGAACATTTAGTACATTATAATGAGCATACAAGAATTTATAATGAATTAAAATGATCTAATTTTCATTAACAATTATATAAATAACTTTTTAAACTATAGTTTCTGAAATGAACAAATAAGATATGAACATAACACTATTAGAATTTGAACATATAATTTTTGAAAATAAACATTAAAATTTTAAATATAATATCATTACATTATTTTATAATGAACATTAATAAATATGAACATGACACTACTCGAATTTGAACTTTTACTTTTTTTTTAAATGAACTTTGAAATTTTAAATATGAATACAACACATATTATAGTGAACATAAATTTGGGATAATTCAATAGTTTTGCAATATAAACAGAACATTTAGTGCATATAAAATGATTTTTTTTTTATAAAATATGAACAAATAAAATTGGATGTTTATGTTTATTTTTATAATTAATTATAATGTGTAATGTTAATTATTTTTTGGTGTTCAGTATTTTATTCCTAGATGTTTATTACTTTTTTTTTTACTAAATGTTCATTTTATAAGGTGTAATCTAACTATTTTATGATAATCATAGTCATTTTTAATTTACTTAACTGTTCATTTTTTATTACTAAATTTACGTGTTCATATTTTATTACCAAATGTTTTTTTTTTGACTAAATGTCCATTTTTTGTGACATGTTCATATTTTTGTACTAAATGTTCATTTTTTGTAAAGTGTTCATATTTTTTTTACTAAATGTTCATATTATAGACGTGATGCACCTATTTCTAGGTGCACCATATAACTATTGGTTTTCTAATAAGTCTTTATGGTTTTTTTTTTTTTTTTTTTTTGTGACAAAAGAGCTATCAAATAAAAAGTAAACCAACCAAATACAACGACATTCAACAAAAAGCTAAAACAGAAAATGTAACAACTGACGACGTCGAGCACAACCAACTAACCAGTGGGCAGGAGCAACCCACAAATGAGGAACCTTTCGAACCTGGCAAACCAAAAGAGATTGAACCGAAGCCCACAAATCCTGAATAAGCCACCAAGCAGAAATATCTAGCGAACCAAAAGGAGGAAAAAGAGCAAGGAGGGTAGCACAATCTGTATAAACCCAAATTTTCAAGACGCCTTTACGAATAGCAAACTCCAAACCCCAGACACAGGCCTGAATCTCAGATTGCAACACTGAACTTGCCATAAAATCTCGACAACCACCTCCCAGTACCTCAGAAGAAAGAAGATCACAAACAATCCAGGTTGCTCAGCCATATAAGTAGAACAATCCCAGGCCCATCCACAATCAAACAAGTTGTTAGAGAAATATAAGGTAACCCATGCAGACATAGCCACTGGACATCCTGTTTAGCATCTAAAAGAACCAAACTAGAAGACTTTGAAGACCTCTTCCAATCCAGAGCCTACGTACTGTGAAGAAACCAATCTCAAGTCAAGCCAACAATTGTCCCAGACGACCAAACAGCTTTCCTAAACCTCAGTTGATTGCGAGAAATCCAAATCTCCCACAAGACAGCAAATCACGAAGCAATACCCTTCCAATACCTCAACGAAGAAAAGTGAGAAACGGTAATCGAGAACCAAACACTAAACGCGGAGGAAACTACATAAGATCCCATTGAATGCCTAATGCTCCAGACAGCTAAAGATTGCAGATAGCAGGACGGTCTCTAAATATATGAGACACAGATTCCTTTTCCACATGACAAAAGGCACAAACTGGATCAATTGGGAGGCCTCAGGAATGGAGAATAGCCGCCAAAGGAAGAGCGTCATGTAGCAATTTCCAACCAAAGGTTTTTCGTCGAGGAAGAATTAGTAAAGCCCTAAACTTCCTCCACTATGCTAGAGAGATATGAGAGTGAATACTAGACATGACCCTAGGCTCACAAAGAAGGGCATAAGCAGATTTAGTTGAAAAAATACCATCCCTAGTGAAATTCCGGTACACAAAATCATCCATTAAACTCACTAGCCGATCCAACAAAAGAATTCTAGCAGCAACTAGAATCAAATAGCCCGTGAACAACAGTAACATCCCACGCGTAAGAACGCGGATCAAGTAAAGAAGACACAAGAGTCGGACGAACCGCCTCAGACGGAAGATCCTTGAAATATACCGGTTCCCCCGGAACCAGGATTCCTCCAAAATACGAACTAGAGAACCTGAACCAACCTTCCAAAACAAACCCTTCGATAACGAGGACAATCCCAAAATAAGACCCTTACAACCCCAAGAGGGACGAGAAGTTGAGATCGAGTCAATGGAACGAAGAGTCGGATACTTCGCAAACAGAAGCCGGGAAACCAACAGCTGAGGGCACTGAATAATTTGCCAACTCTGCTTTGCTAACAATGAAGAGTTAAAAGGGACAATAATACGAATTCCCAATCCTCCTAAACCCTTCGAAAGATGGAGCAATGACGAAGACCGAAGAGCTAAACCTCGATTAGAAGAAGAAGACTTACACCAAAATCCTGGCTAACAAATTATCCACTCTAGAACATATAAAACCAGGAATTTTGAAAACAGATAAGATGTGATTAAAGGAGGCAATGAGCACTGAGTTGATAATGACAAGCTTAGCCGCCGGCAAAAGCTGCAAAGCTGTAAAGGCCTCTAGACGTTTGGCCACCTTGTCCAAGAGGAACCCAAACTCAGATAATTTACTACGGCCCAAATCAACAGGAAACCCCAAATAAGAACCTAATCTAGATTCAGATCGCATTTTCATATAACCAGACAGATAAGTTCGATAATCCTCAGGAATATTAGGACTAAACTTGACAAACGACTTCTGCAAATTAAGCATCTAACCTAAAATATCACAAAATGTAGAAAGCACATTCAACATATTTTCACACACAGGAGGAGAGACTTGGAAGAATAGCAAGGAGTCATCAGCAAAGAACAAGTGTGAAATGGTAGGAACCCCGCTAGCAATTTTAATACCCTAAAAAGGCCTTCATATTCAGCCTTACAAAGCATTGCCAAAAGAACCTCCATGCACAAAACAAATAGGTAAGAAAATAGAGGATCTCCTTGATGCAGATCACGCTGAGGACGAAAACCCTCAGAAGGAGAACCATTAACCAGCACCTGGTAAGAGACCGTAGAAACACATTGCATATTCAAATGAATCCAGTAGGGAGAAAATCCAAAAAACCTAAAGAACCCACCCCAGAAAGTCCCACTCAACTCTGTCATAAAGCTTTATTCATGTCTAGCTTTAGGGCCGCATAAAAACGTTTCCTAGCTTTGGAGGCATTCATAAAAGAATGGATCTCATGCACCATTAGGCAGTTATCAGACATCAACCTACCAGGGACAAAGGCATTCTAAAAATCCGAAACTATGTCTGGCATAATCCAACGCAGACGTTGAGCAAGACACTTAGCAATACATTTATAAATGACATTACAGAGTCCTATCGGTCTAAATTGAGAAATAGTTTCAGGGTGATCAACTTTAAGAAGCAGAACTAAAAACGACCGATTCCAGTCCTTAAGCAAATGGCCATGAGCAAAAAAGAACTGAACACCATTCACCCACCTCTGTCTAATAGGTCTTAAAAAAGGCCAAAGTAAAACCATTAGGAGATTTACCATCAACAATACTAAACATAGCCTGCCTAATATCATCAGCCAAAAATGGAGCTACAAGGACTGACGATGTTTGACAAAGAAGGGAGCTGAAGGGAATCCCAAGGGAACTGAGAAACAGAAGGTCGATCTGATTGCCTACTATACAGTGACCTGTAAAAATCAGAACCAAAGAACGAATGTCCTGCGCATCTAAAACCCAAGGACCGGCATTATCCTTAAGACCAAGAATAGTATTTTTCCTACGTCGAGCCTGAACTGCAGAAAAAAGCAACCGAGTATGCTCATCACCAAACGCATCCCACTTCACTATTGCTCGATGTCTCCAAAAAAGAAACGCCGCCTGAGCCTCTGTAATCTTTTCCATCCTAAAAGTGCTAAACAAACAACGACTACTCCGAGAATCAAGAGTAAAAGAAGCATTAGTGACATCTTGAACCAAAGCTTTCCAATCAATGCCCAATGCGTTTTTATGGGAAACACACCAAGCTAGCAGACGATGACAAAGAACACAAAGTCTTTTTGACAAGGAAAACATAAGAGACCTAGGGATATGATATGCAAAAATAGCCCGAACCATAGCAGCAACCTCCACAGATTGCAGGCACCAGTTTTCAATTCATTAAGGTCGTTTATATCTACCAGAAGGCAAAGAGTCACATAAAATAATAGCCGTATGATCTGAAAACAAAATGGGATGGTGATAAACTGAGGTAGCTGACCAATCCTGAAGCCAATGGAAAGTAATCTTTCAAAAGTAGGGTCCATAACTATCCTCCCATTAGTCCAAGTGAAAGACGGTCCAGAAAATAGAATATCAAGTAACCCATTGTCCAGTTTCCATTGTATAAAATCTTGACGGCCGGGAATGTCCGGATTACCTCCAACCTTATCCGATAAATATTCAACATGGTTAAAATCACCAATTAACACAAAATTCGGATAAGCAGCTAAAATATCATAAATTTCCGACCACATAGTCGTACGGCCATAAACTTGAGGCGCTCCATACATAAAAAGGACATATTTTGTTACCAAATTCTTCACAATTCGACACAATATTACATGCGGAGAAACCAAAAGAGGATCAATCACAACTAGGGCAAACCAAAACACACAAAACCCACCACTAAGACCCACCGAGTCTACACCCACTAAACCTGAACATGGCAGGGAAGATATCTTATGTATAATAGAATTTACAGACACCATAATTTCAGCTAAAAACACAATATCGACACCATAAGAGCGGACTAAGGACGCGATGTAAGGAAATTTAGGGGAGCCCGCCTAACCCAAACCCCTACAGTTCCAAGCCACAATCTTCATCTGCCGCTTGGTGGCCTTAAACGGGCAGCCACCGAGCCCTCAAAAGAAGAACCAGAACAAGACATCTGAGCTGAAGAAGATTTATTAATCCCTTTACGTTTCTTAAAAGGGAGACAGGAGAAACAACCAGTAAAATGCTCAGCAGAACCCAAATAAGAAACACCCTTTCATTTCTTACTTGGCACCCAACAAGGAAGGCAACCAGAATCTTGGCTTTCCAGTACTTGTAACTCCAAAATAGGGGGAACCGAAGGCTCAACCACTCCACCAGAATGTTTAGCTGGGCAGTGATTCCTGACCCACTTATGCACCTTCTCTGGACCCTTTCCCAGCAACGCAGAAGACTTGTGCAATACCTTAGCATGCGAACCCTTGTCAGTTGACTGCTCCTCAACCACTTGAGTGTCACTAATCGGAAGATTCACCCTTGTTGTTCTAAATTTTTCTGTTCTTTTCAAGCCAATGTTCGAATTTGAGAGATTATAGGCAAGATGATCAGCAGACATACACAATCCATTATCAGCCACAAAAGAAGTAGACATACAAGGAGTCCTAAAACAAGTATTCTTCTTATGGCCAACACTATTGCACCTAGAGCACAAAATAAACAAATTCTCAGGTCTGATATTAATCCACTTAAATTGAGAATTTCCAACATCCAAGTAGAAACCTGGCAATAATGATTCAAACACATGAATTTGAAGTTTTACTCTCTAATCGAGCATTTGATGGAACCTGGAAGGGTGTCATCAGTACATAGAATGTCGAAATTCTGACATTTCAATTGAAGCGAGGAAGATGGAAATAGGGAACTTGAAATCGAAAAAATATGACTACCGACCAGAAAGCAAGAAAAATTAAAAACCACTAAAGAACTTGGGTCTATGGAATTCTACTAATTTTAAATATGAAAGTAGCTTGAATTTTGTTGAAATTGAGGTAGGTGGAAGCGGTGATGAAAATTGGGGAAGGAGCTCTAGTTTCCTAGAGAGATAAGCTCTCTTTTAGTGAGAGAAAGTTTTTAAATATCAAACTACATCAGAGTCTCTATGGTTGTTTATTAGCTACTTGCTTCTTCACTCATACTCTCATAGTGTAAGGATTCTCAAAACCACTACAAAACTCTGCTTTTTTTAGATACCATAAGATGTATCGAGTGAATCGAGTCTCTAGAAAAAAGATGGTAGAGCCGTGGCCTAGGGATTCTCATGGGCTACTAGGGGAAATATTCTCGTAATAGAGTTTTATATTAGAATTTCTTTGTATTCCCTTTTAATCCAGTCGACAATAACATAACAATGAGTCATCCTTAGCCCTTGCTCAAGGATAACAAATTTTGGAATAATAAAGATACAATGGTTGAGGTATATTTACAAGATGAGGGCAAAAACTTAAATTTTTTGGTGCATAAGATAAAGGTTGATACTCTTTGTAGTCTTTGAAAGTTTATAGAGTATTCAGAACAGCACCCACTAATATATTTGTAGACATCTACTTTTGTTCTCCTGTCTCGAAAACGAAGTGCAATGATGATAATAAAATCATGGTTCTCCATTACAAATCGAGCTTAGAACTATATTACGGGCTGCTAAATAATGTACCTTAACCCAATTCAAAATCTAAGTCTGAGCCCAAACCATGACAAAACATCTAAACAAACTAAGTTCGCTCTCTAAAATAGACCCAATATGTACCTAAGCACGTATTAGGACTACACTAGTGATGGAATCAAGGCCCTTATGTAGACTCCTAAATATGTCTCCCCAAAACCAAACCCGATGATGAACAATCTTTCACCGCCATTATTGGTGAGATCGAGTATTTAATCTCGGGAGTGTTTCAAATCCTTTTTCAATCAAACACGTCATACAAATTAGTCCACATTTTCAGTCCAAGTATTTATTCAAACTCTATCCAACCCTCATTTCAGCCCAAATCATTTTTAATCCATTTCATTTCATTTATTAATTAAGCCCGATTAATAAATATTAAAACCCTAAACCTAAAATGAGTCCGGAACACTAAAACGGCGCCTAATTATCCCTTACTTAATGTTAAGCAAAAAGATAAAAACGAATTTAGACGGAATTCCAAAAAAGGTATCTTCCATGTCACGGCAGAAATGTCGCGCCACGGAAGGCTCTACCGCACCACGGCAATCTGTTGCCTCCATTCCTCCAGACCTCCAACCCTCTATGCGTTTACAGCCTCCGGCCCCCCACTACTTGAAGTTTGAAGTTACAAATCAACAAGATCCACTTTCTGTTTCTTCTAATTGGTATGTTTTTTATTTCTTTGCTACTTTTTAGTGGGTATGCTTTATTATATGGGGTTCATTTGTTGTACGAATTGCAAGTTACAAATTTCTCTTGTTTTATTTTGGGGAAAATTAAAATTTTACAACGAAGTATAGAATTTGGGGGTTTTTAGGGAATAATTTAGTGAGTATGCTTAATTGTATGTTTAATTGTTTGTAGTTTAATTTGTTGTACGAATTTTCAATTATATGCTAGACTCTCAACTTATAAGTTCAATTTTATGTCAGATTATCAATTAATTAGTTCAATTAATACTATTTTTTACCCTTTTCGATTAGATTTTGTATAAGATGGTCATTTTCAAGAGTATGAGAATAATGATATAATGTCTTAGGCTGACAGTTTGTTTTACTTTCAAATGCTTTTGAAATTAGTTGTATACTTGTGGTAGTATATTCTCAATTCTTGATTGTTTGATTGTACAAGTGTAAATTGTATTGTATGAATTAATTTTTTTTTTTTTCCCTGCAACTCAAGTCAGACATCTGTGTGTTGGTTTGCATATGTGACTTTTTATCAACCACGGATTCTAGTACTGGATCTTGTAATGTAACTATTGGATTTTATTAGTTGTATAAAGACAAAATTTATGTATGGTTGTATGGTTTTACTTTATTAAACATTTAGATTAGATGAAAGCTATATTGTTGATTGTTGTCTGTTATTGCCTAGCTGATAACTTCGTGTTCAGTTAAATATATTTAAGCAGGGTTTTTTTTTTTCTTTGAAAAATTGCGGTCAAACTACAAACCGCATTGCACCAAACCACAATTTAAATTGCGGGTTGATTAAGAATGCGGTTTGGTGAGATTTGAGAAAAATTGAAACCGCATAATTGCAGTTTGGTGCGGTTTCACCCCCAAACTGCACCAAACCAAACCGTGTACAGCCCTATCTATGAATACAAAGCTGATTTCAGCACCAAGACACATTCTAATCTCTCTCTCTCTCATATTCTAAGCCTTAAACCTATTTTCCTAATTACACAATTCGTCCCCTAAGCACTCCTCGGAGTACATAAAACACCCGAAATTCCATACTTAAACCAAGGCGTGAAATGTAGAATTGATTGAGGGTTTGGACCAAATCAACTCTAATTTTAGTTTAATTTCAATTTGATTTATTATTCTTTGAAATTACTAACATTTTTATTCATGATGTAGCAATTTAAAGAAGCGTGGAACGTGAGTAATTAGTTCACTTACACGACTAGAAAAAAGACTTATGGGAACGACAATAATCTGTTACCATATGCCCTATTAATGTTGCCATATGCCTATAGCAGCAAATTATAAACTGTTCCAATAGGTACCGTTGCTAAAACTCTTTAGCAACAGCTTTCATGCATTAGGCAACATTTATTGTAAACTGTTGTTGTAAATAATTATGGCAGCACTTTTCTTAGGTAGCACTTTTTAACTTATGCCAACACTTATTCAACAACTTTAGGCAACATTTTCAAATTTAAAGCAACAATTTTCGCTAATTTTAAGCAACACTTATTAGCTTGATACTAGTTGATGTTTAAAATTAAGGCAACACTTTATTTTTTTTAATGGCGATGCTTCCAATTGAAACTAAGTCGACACTTTTAAACCTATTAATGGCAATGGTTTTAATTGGCATTAAAGAAATAGATTTGATAATAATGCATTTAATAATAATTAACTTGCTTAAAGAGCATATGATTAATAAACTTACGCTTTGAAATAAGTTCTCCAAAAAAAGTTATACGTAGTTAATTCAAATTAATTCTAAATGATAAGCTAACTATTTATTACAACCAGCAAAAACATTCAATCTAAATTTTTCATACATTAAACTAATTAAAATTCCAAAACCAAATTCTTAAAATATCTTCAAAAATCATTCTCTTATTTTTGCTCAAAGTCCAATAGATTTTTAGATGGTTGATGGAGTACTTCATACTTGGATATATATAGTCTCCTGCAAAAACAACAACAACAACAACAACAACAATAATAATAATAATAATAATAATAATAATAATAATAATAATAATACTCTTATATTCAATAAAAAAAAAATTCAAATGAATTATTTATAAAGCATTATTATCAAAACACTAGAAATTGGGATTGTAGTGAGTAAATAATGAAATAAAAAAATATTTCATCTAAAAATGGGCAGGAAGCAGTATTGTAGCAACATCACAAGAGTATAAGGAAGTAAACATCAAAGGATCATAAATTTATATAATCATAGAGATTACATTATCAAACACTAGAACAATTTGGCTAAGCTAGCATCATAAATTTTGATGCCTGGTTTCGATAAGAGGAAAGAGATTGAGTTTTTTAATCTTATAATTTTCTAAGAAATAATGCCATTTGTGTTTACTTTGTTTAGAACTTCATATCATATAATACACCATTTCAAATTCTTCAACCACATGTAACAATGTAAAAATAGAAAAAGAAAAAGGAAGATAACATGTAAAATAGAATAACAAACCTGTTCATAATCTTAAATAATATAGTTTATGCATCATTTGTAGTCGTTGAAACAATAGCTTTCGCAATAATTTCTGGAGTTTAGCTAGGATCTTTTTGGCGTAGTTGTGCAAGTGCTGATATTACTGCATCAAGAGTTATATTCCCTTGCTGATTTTCAATATTCGTGCGTATCTCTTGCAGTTTTAAGGTCTCAGATTCAAGCTCCTTAGTCTTCCTCTCTATTTCATCTTCTTGTGCAGCATGAACTTCTTTTTCCTTGGCAAATTCTTCAATTTCCACATTTATATCCTTTTGAACATCAATAGTTACAGCATTTTAATAGCCTCCATGACCTCTTCTAGTAGAATCAAAGAGGTATCAGGTCCTTTATCTTTTCGCTTCTTGCGAGTGGCACCAAGTCCTTGTAATAATTTTGTACCTCGACGTGCATTTCCCATAACTTCATCAAATGGGTCCTTAACAGATTCACCACTCTGATCATCTTGAGAAGCTTCCAATTCCCTCATTGCTTGCTGTAACAATTATTAAAACAGGTGACAAAGTATACGATAAATTAATTCATTAAATAAATTAATAGGAATAATATAGTATTTACCATCTCCTGTTGTGTATCATCATAAGGTCGATCATAGGTTCTTCCCTCCTTTCGCCGTCGAGTCTCTTCAAACATTTTTCTTTTTGATGGTGCCACACCATCTTTCCGTAGCTAAGAAATAAATATATAAACAACATAAAATCCATGAAATA